GGAATTGTGTATGTGTTCTGATGGCTCTCTCCACGAATGAAGAGGAGGTGGAGGGGTATATATAGCCTCCACACAAAATCCAACCGTTACACACAGTTTTCCAATCTCGGTGGGACCGAATCAATAAACTCGGTCGGACCGAAAAGGTAAACCTAGTGACCGTTAGAGATTTTCGGTGGGACTGACATGCAACTCGGTAGGACCGATATGGTTAGGGTTTGGGCATAATGTAATCTCGGTGAGACCGATTACACAAACTCGGTGAGACCGAGTTTGATAATAAGCTAACCAGAGAGTTGGTCAGGTAAACTCGGTGGGAACGATTTGCTCTTTCGGTGAGACCGAAAAGTTACAAAAGGGAAACATAGAGTTTACATTGCAATCTCGGTGGGACCGATTCGCTCTTTCGGTGAGACCGAAAAGTTACGAAAGGGAAACAGAGAGTTTGCAATCCCATCTCGGTGAGACCGAGATCCCTATCGGTAGAACCGAAATGCTAGGGTTTGGCAGTGGCTTATGACAAGTGAAACTCGGTGGCGCCGGATAGAAAGAATCGGTAGGACCGAGTTTGGCTTAGGGTTTAGGTCATTTGTGGAAGTGGGAAAGTAGCTGAGGATTTTGGAGCATATCATTAAGCACATGAAGCAAGAGGCTCATTAAGCAACACCTCATCCCTCCTTGATAGTATTGGCTTTTCCTATGGACTCAATGTGATCTTGGATCACTAAAATGTAAAATGAAGAGTCTTGAGCTTGAAGCTTTAGCCAATCCTTTGTCCTTAGCATCTTGAATGAGTTCTCACAACCTTTAGTCCATGCCACTCCATTGTTGAACTTATCTGAAACATGCACCACCTAGGGAGCACTTCTGCTTTCATTTTGATAAAAGATATCCTGATGATCCTGATTCATTGGTGTATAGGCTTTGCTTTTTATCTTAATGCTTGGTATACGTTGCAGAAAACCAAGACAGAGGAAGAATTGAGCAAGGGGTGATGTTGGCCAAGAAAGTTATTGAAGAAATTTATGCAAAGAGCCTTTGGCTGGAACCTAGAGAAGAAGGATTGGTGTTATATGAAGCTCCAAAGTTTTTTGCTTTTGTGAGAGTTAATGATCTGATGCCCTCCACCTGTGGCTTTGGTTTTGTTGCTTTGGGTGTGTTCTGGATGTTTTAAGTTTATGTTCTGTCCCTTGTCACTTGTAATACTTTGTGACAATCTGAGTGCAGCTGTAGGTACTCTCTCTCTCATTTACGTTTTCTCTATGTTTTTCTGCTTTCTTTGTAATGGAAATCAACGAGGAGGCTCATTGTTTCAGAGAACAACCGTGAATAATTTTAAGAGATTTTTTTAAACAAAACTGGAAAATTGGATAAAGATAAAGTGGAAGAAATAGAAAAACAAAAGGAAAACAGACAGAAGAGGGAGGAAAAAACTGGAAAACCAGACGTGAACCTTTCTAAAAGGGGAGCGATAGGCGCCAGCGCGCCGGCCCAAATTTGGGCCGGTCGCAGCCCAGGCGTTCGATGCGTCCACATACGGCCGTTAGATCTGCGCTCCTCCTATCGTTTTCTCTCCAAAGACATAGCCACCAACGAAGAACAGGAGCAGCGGCCCCGCTAGCACTCTCCATGGATGAGCGAATGCCCAACCTCGAAGCACCGCCGGTCGCCGCCCTCGTTGATGGTCGGTGCCTCCCATTGGTTTCTCGCCAGCTTCACGCATGCAACACCGAGCGCTTGCAGGTTGCAGTCAAAAAATGCCATGGGTCGCAGCTCCGGTGGCGGCGGTCGCCAGCCGCAACGCTCCATGGACGAGCTCGCAGTGTACCTCCCTCAGTTGCTGGTCGCAGCAAAACGCCTGACGGACGTAGCAAACACGAACTACGGTTGCAGCAAAAAAGCAGCTCCTGTCGTTGCTGCTCACCATTGTCAGCTCACCGTTCCCTAGTTGAAGCTTTTTCAAAAGCGTTTTGAAGCTTTCTCGTAGTCGGCTGCAGCTTTTCTCTGATTTTCATCGCTGGTCACCGCCAAAAAGAATGGTGGTAACAAATTATGTTGCCGGTTGTAGCAAAAAATGACTGCGGTTGCAGCAAAAAATATGGTCACCGCCGTAGCACGTTTAGCATCACCATTAATAATGTAGCAAATCTCGACGATGGTAGTAGCAAACATTTACGACAGATGCAACACAAACACGTCTCGCCATAGAACCAATGCAGCTCGCGCGCTAACAGAACTGATAAAATGCAACCTGGGAAACTGGTCTGCTAAATGTCTAGATAAAGTGAACTTATGCGGTTGGACATCTTAGCTAGGAGTACTTATTAAAATTAACGCTTACTTGAACTGCAATTCCACTGTTACCTCTTCATCCTCCCCACCCCAGTTTAAGTTTCCTCTTTTATCCCAGTTTCCCTCTTCATCCTCCCCCCACCCAATTTACATAGAAACATCAAACAACCACGATACTGATAAGAAAAATAATACAGTACTCCGTTATGTGTGGCAGCATATAATCTGAAGTCGCCTGCTAACACAAATCTGACACAACAAATATATATTTCGTGTGGTTCAGTGTTTCCTCTCCCTTTTTTTTAAGTGAGCTCATTCTACTCCACAAATCATAAAAAGTTATTACAATTTAGCCGAGCTAATAAACTCTGGAAAACAGAAGTGGCAATGGTTCTCCAGAGTTAAATAAAGTGACCTTAGCAAAGATTAAAACATATTCCCTTCACTAGAAGAGAGGCACTTCAAAACATGATAAAAGAACAAGAGCCGTCATTTCGTAACAAAAGATCAAATCAAGTTCTTGCAAGTATCAAGATCCGCAGAGTTTACGCTTTCAAGTATGCCAATTTGGTCACTGATTTAGTTCTTGCCAATTTCCAACTGTTATATATCTTGTGAAAATATCTCCATCATAGCTTGGTACAGAGTACAGGTTACACATACTGCAATAGACGAGCAGCCGCACTGTCTAGTACTGCTCACTAAACAAAAGAAATATTAAAAAAGACTCTGTTACGAGTTCATCACCAGCCGAACAAACTATTGATATTTGGAGTATCAAAATTGCTACAGTAACCGAAAGCACGGAAGGTACTCCAGAAGTATTGGAAAAGACTATAGGCCTTATCCTTGTACATTCATGTTATTGCCTGCAGTAAAAAAACTTGTGAATGGGTGGATGGTTGATGTCGTACATTCGGCGAAAGGATTGCTTTCAAAAATCTTCTTAAACTGCAAGGACTCAAGATGGACCATGAAGACGCCTCCACTTGTTGACACAAATATCACATTCTCATCTCCAGCTACACCCAACACCGTTTGCAGATTTGTCCACTCGCCTGGTCTCAGCGGAAGAAGCTTGTTCAACTCAATTGCTTGTGCCGGCATCCATCCAGCAACTCCATCAAAATCAGTCGTCCTCACCCATAGTTGAGCTACGAAGTCGTCTGACACAACGATGAAGCCAAGCCCGCCACCCAGCGTACTCAGATAGAGGCCATGATGACTAGAATGGGCATCCGGTGGCACCTCTACAACAGCTAGGCTCCGAGTATCCAAATCAAGCTTAAGGATGCCAGTCTGAGTACCAAAAATAAACCAGTGCAGGGAATTGCCAACCAGGATGCTTCGACTTCCAACACAAGACATAGTGTGATACGGAACATCGGTTGATATGAGATCGCCCCATGAGTTGGTCTCCGATGAGTAGACGCAGGCTCGCGCGGCCAGCTTGTCGGCGCACACCAAGACGACATTGAAGGGGCTCGAGTGGCAGCTGCCGTGTACGTGGTCCTTGTCGCCGGCAACACAGAGCACATCCGCTTGCACATGTGACTTGCTCCAGTCGTGATCCAACTGCGGCGGACTGCCTATGAAGCGGCGGTCGCCTGTGACGGGATCCCACACCAGGACGTGGCGGCAGCCCTTGCCGAGGTGGTCCCCTCTGGTGAAGAGCACGCGACCGTGGCGGCAGCGGCGGAAGGACCAGATGCCGTCGTTTCCCTCGACGCCGCCGCCTTCGATGCCGTCGAACCGCACGGACAAGCGCTCGGGCGGGATGAGGTCCGGGCGATCCAGGACCGACCTGAAGGAGAGGTCTCCGCGGTAGAAGTCCAGGAACACGCCGATGATGGGGGGCTCCCGGTGGTGGGCGCAGAAGCGGCGGAGGAATTGGGGATCGGCGATGAGGTGGCGCCACTGCTTGCAGACGAGGGAGGCGCGGGGGAGAGAGGATGGCTGCGGAGGGAGACGGATGAGTACCTCGGGGAGGAGGTTTTCATCGTCCGTCGGGGTCGTCTTCGCCGGCGGCGGCAACGCGGAGCGGCGGCGGCAGATAGGGTTCATCTCGTCTCTCCCGTCGATGCGGCGCGATCGATTGTTTCCTCTCTGTTTATGAGGAATATGCGGTCCTTGTGTCCTGGGTATTTATTATTTTCTTTGTGTATACGGGCTGAGCCATCCGACTTCGAACACAATCGGAACTACGTGCAGTGCGGAACGTGTACGTACACGAACATGTTTCTAATCAGGCAAATTATGTTTGTCGAGAGTGACAAGTTTAATTGATGAATATGACAAAATCAATAATTCTTTGCCAAAAGAATGTGCTAGTCAACATAAATTTGCCATCTTCGCGTCAACATAAAATTTTCATGAAAAACAATACTCGTTTGAACTACAGTTTTGCTAAAGCACATCTAGATGTGCCATAAGCATTGCACATGTAAGTGCTATATCATTAATCTTATGTTGAGATTGATATGGATATTTTTTTTCCTTCTTCATGCTTAATTCAAGCAATAAGCCCTTTGAACTATCTCCGACGATATAGGAACAGAAGAACATCGTAATCTGTGCAATACATCGCGCTGGAAAATTAGGAGTCCTCGCAACCGAATTGTCCCTCCGACTCCTCTTCCGTCGATAGTATCCTCGCTTTTTTCTCTCACAGAAGTTTCGATCCCCCCAAACGCCCTCCGCCGTCAGCGATGCAGCCCGATCTCGCGGCGGCGAATCGCCGTGTGATGGAGGATTTGACGAAGAAATATGGAGTGACCCCCGAAACCATGGACTATGTGACCCTTGGCCCGGTGTGCGTCGAGCCCCGCCGCATCGTGAAGGTGCCCCGTCCTCCGATCCCTGCCGCCGGCGCGGAGGGGCCGCCGAGGCGTCACCCCCGGGCGGAGCCGAGCCCACTCGAGGCAGCGCTGCTGGACACCGTTCACCGGCACCACCTGCAGGCGCTCGCCATGATGGACCGCGAGATCGTCGGCCGCCACGCGCGCGGCATGCTGCTCGCGGGCTACGCCTACGGCCTCCACGACCCCGTCTGCAACATCCTCGCCAACTGTCTCTGGCACGATACAGTCTTCCCCGCTTCCTCCAGCCAGGAGGTTCTTCAGCCCATGATGCTGAGTTGCAAGGCCATATTCCGCCTGGCTCGCCGCTCCCTCGACGCCCTCGTCGCCTTCATGAGGGCGTACGCGCCCACCATGTCTGCTGAAGAGGCCGTGTCCTACCTGAGCAGAAGCCATGACAACCTTCACCATGCCGCCGTGCTTGTTGACAGAGAAGGTGTTTCCCACGCAAACCGCATGGACGACGCCTTCAGGGCTGCCATTCTGGCAGCGCATCTCCCTAGTGACGCAGCTCGCGAGGCTCAATTTTTTTTCATTGCCAACTGTGCTCCTACTGACGCTTTTCTTGCAAAGCATGGAATTCATGGTCACCCATTAGCTTTTGGATTAACTGACCTGAGGCCGCAAAGCAATTCATCGCTTATAGTGCTTGAATTCGTCAAGCTGGTTGTTTCCAGTTTAGCTCTCACACAGCCGCCACCAAGCTCGTCGAGCCTAAGCCAAGGAGCATATAGAGCGTTAAGGATCAAGATGCATGCCTTCAAGAGGGATCAGGAGTTTTGCCTTGGTATAGTAAACATGGCGCTCAAGAAACTCGCGTTCCAGTTTGGGGTAATATTGCTGATTCCCGTTTGCCTAACGGCTGATTTATATTTTGGTTTTCCTTCAATCTGCTGCATCTCTGACATGGGTTAATTTTCATTATTCAGGAACTTTATCAGATTCATCTACTATGCGGCAAAAGTTTGGTTACTTTGGTTCCTGATAGCTATTATCATGTCAACTTCTTGGCATCACGCGAGAGCGAGCCTAATCAGCCTAAGCTGTTTTTTTTGCTGAGGTTCGTGCTTCACTTCAAGATGTGGATGATGTGACCTTGTGCTGTCCTGTGACATTATCAGGAAGAGCTGGTATGCCAAGTTTTCCTTGTTTTTCATTAGTTCATACATATGACTGAATTCTCATATTACACTTGCCTGGGTTTTTAGACATGATATTATTATCTGAAATTAACATTTGCAACTAACGTCTAGTTTTTGTGCGGATCCTCTTTATTTAGTATCTCATCTTACTGAATGAATTTCTGATACTAAAAGAGAGTAGGGCGGAAACATGAATTAAACGTGCAAAGCACTTAACTTTGGGTTACACACTTGCACTGAAATTAATTTTGGGTTAAACAGGGAGTTTTTTAGTTCGGTTTATATGATAGCCCCGAGTAGCAACTGAACTTTCACATTAGACCAGACTAAGAGTTTCTAAAGTTGAGTATTTTCAACAGATTTACTCATTTAGCATGAATGGTGTTTTGTTTAGATCAACCATTTAATTGTGTGGCAAGCGCATTTTGCTGAAATATCTAATTTTGTATAGAAATTGTTTATTTCAGCTTTATTCCAATTGGATTTGAGATACCAAGGATTTTTTGTATTATATGCTCCATTCAATACGAAATATGAATATTATGATACAACTTTTGTTGCTCAATGCATTCTTGCCTTGCATCCAAGCTAATTACTGTTTCCTTTTGATGTTTGCTTGGTAATTAGGTGGATGCTCTGCTTGTGAGTATATGGGAATGAAACTCATCCATCCTGTAGATGAGAAGTTCAATGGACAATGTGACTTCACTAAGGGTAAAGACCCACACATTGTTGAACTTTCCAGGAAAGACCCTACCTCAGAGTTTGATGTTCCACTGATTGATGATTACATTTTCTTTGAGCTTGATCACCACCCTGAGGTTACAACCTTCCTGGAGACCTCTTACTCCTATATGAGTGATGATCAAGTGGACCTGAGTCTTTTGTGGTTTGAAAATTACATGCCTTGAGCTGTGTTATTACTGGTATGTATATGATATTCATAAATATTTGTATGCACTAACTTAGGCATTTTAATTGGTGGAAAGCAGATGTAATCATAGAAACTAGAAATTTTGGGGATACAAGAATGCATACATCTTGAATACACTAACAACAATCAAAGATACATCACTATGGGTGTCCGAGATCACTCGATGAGGAACACTCGTCGATTGGGGTGAAGACAACTTTGAAGGTCCAACTACAAACTAGTTCACAATTAAACAACACAACAATAACTATGATATGCAATCTGGATATTGCGAATACAAATAAAGTATAGATGATGGTTGTAGTTTTGTTAGTGGTCTTGGCTTAGTCGTTGGACAAGTACATGAAGTTGCAGCTATGGTGAGCTTTTAACTAAACAAACCCATGTCTAAATGATGCTCTAGGAGCACTATTTATGGAGGGGCGAAATGCAAATTCAGCTAGCCCAACTCTAGGTAGATTTACTTAGCGAAATGCTGTAAAAAACTGTCTATGCCCCAAAAGTTAACTAGCATAACATTTGTTGAAGGCTATGGATGAAATAATTAAGTGTCAGCCTGTTTATTTGATCCATGTCTTCATGCATCATTATGGTTGCTTCAAAGTCTTGAAATCTTCATTTGAAGCTCCATCTCATTCATTGTGCGTTCATCTCAGTCCGTCTCAGTCTCCATGCTTGATCATGCTTCAACACTCCCTTCTTGTCCATACTAGGCCCTTCATTTGCGAGAAGTATGAACATATGAAATTTTCACAACAACATGTTCTCATGAATATTCCCCAGAAATGAAATTATCTGATAAATTAATTATCATGTGGAAGCTCTAGTGAGGGATCCAGGTATGTGTGGATCTTGAAAATGAATAGTTGTGGAGGCCGTGGGTGTAACAATCACTGAGATGTCCTGACCGAAAACTCCTCCTAGCTAAGTAACCAATACAAATACGTTTGTATAATAATACACATCAAATTACAATCCCGCTATAGCATGGTGACACTCATTCCACTCCCTCCTCATCCTCTCCCCTCCTCTCGTCTGTCGAGTGCACCTTCTCCTCCATCATAGAATGGTTTATGCAGGTTTGGGATGGGACCACT